CTGGAATACGAATTTTGACATGTCACGTTGCTTGAGAATTAGATTATTCCATATTTATTTTTGGCAAAAAATTGTTTTTTTTTGTCCAAATTATAACCAATATAAGGTTAGCAATCCTATTGCAAACAATATAAACTTAATTTTTTTAATAATGTTCTCCCGTATAATTTTCCAAAAAAAAAGTGGAGATGGAATAATCTAATTCTCGGGCGACGATATTCAAACCCGAAACTCGGCGAATCCATTTTAGTGTCCTTGTCCAAAACTCTGGTTAAGAAAAAAAAGGCGCGTTAAATTAAAAAAAAATATTTTAAAAGTATTAGAGCAAAAAAAATAAAAGAAAATAATTTTTTTTTGTTTGTCGTTAGCATTTAAACAAACGAATAAAATATAGAGGTTGACATGATTTAAATCGAATCGATTTTAATCGCGATTTAAATCACGATTTAAGTCGTTTTGATCGAATTTAAATCACGATTTAAGTCGTTTTAATCGAGATTTAAATCACGATTTAAGTCGTTTTGATCGAGATTTAAATCATGATTTAAGTCGTTTTGATCGAGATTTAAATCACGATTTAAGTCGTTTTGATCGAGATTTAAATCACGATTTAAGTCGTTTTGATCGAGATTTAAATCACGATTTAAGTCGTTTTAATCGAGATTTAAATCACGATTTAAGTCGTTTTAATCGAGATTTAAATCACGATTTAAGTCGTTTTAATCGAGATTTAAATCACGATTTAAGTCGTTTTAATCGAGATTTAAATCACGATTTAAGTAGTCCAGGGGCTGTAACTGCGGGGCAGGAAGATGTGGGGACACCCTCACACCACCCCAACAAAATATGGCAATGTTTTGTTTTGCGTTTTTGGTGACTCAATATAAGTTAACCCAGAATATTGCCACAAGTAAAAGCGTCTTCCTGTGATATATATCCCATGTTGTCATCCATGTTATCTGAATTCGTACTCTGATTCAGTCGATTTGGGTACAAAAATGGTCCGATTAGAATACTTGCAATTTTTGATCAAAATACGCAGCAACAACAACAAACAAAATCTGACTTCCAACCCATGCTCCCTTACTGAAGACAAAAGGTTCGACTTTATGGCATAGTCAATAATTATTTATTTTTCACATATAAAAAAAAAATCAATAGTGGGGTGGGGGGGGGGTTTACGGGAGATAACATGCTAATTTTTATTATGAAAATTAAATTATGACCGACTTTTTATCGGATCGTCGGTTTTTTGTCTATTATGAATATCGGTTATCGGCCGGTATTATTAAATTATCCGATCCGATAAAAAATGGCGCTCAAATTTAAAAAATTACGCGAGCGTTGATAATTAATTAATTTTTTTTCCCCTCTTTTTTTAAATTATATTAATGGAATATTCTTAAATAATTAAATGGATAAAAAAAAATTTAAAAAAACATAAAATTAACTAAATAAAATATGCTAAAATTAAAAAAAAAATATAATAAAATAAAATAAAATAAAATAAAATACATGATTTAATTTTTATAAAGATGTTTATTTATCTTAAAACAAAATAAAAAAATTTTTTTTAAAAAAATTTAACAATTTACATTTATCATGAATACAACTATAGACTAGATGTGGGATAATACTTTCTTACAAGATAGAAAGACTGTTTGAAGAATAGCAAAGATCTTGCCATAATAATTTTATCAATATTTGTATATTTTTTTCACATCGATGAATATAACTCGAATATAACTTTTAAGCCTAAAATTAATTGGGTTAATTAAATTTTGCTAATAATATTTTTTTTTAACGTGACGACTCGTGTTATGGTTATGATATAAGTTCATAGATAGAAGTGATACACTATTTTAAAAAAATACAAAAATGGTAGATGAAAAATTAAAACGTAACATATGTTTTTGCGAATAAAATCAGCAGATATCGGTAATCTGTCCGGAACCAAATATATCCATATTCATTTCAGATTGGCGTCCAAAAATATGTATCGGCCCACCCTTAATTAATTCAATAAATGGGTTTGCTTTCAGGGATTATGTCCTCCATCACAAATCAACGTATCCCAACATGAGCGCATCTGCCAGATTTTAGAGAGTCGTCAGGCCCGGGGTAACCTGACCCAATGATTATGATCGGACCAAACCAAAGGATACAATATTTTTTTTTTAAAAAAAAGGGTTAAAGGGGAGGGGATATGAGGATTTCTAAAAAATAATATATATATGAAACCGAAAAGCCTGGTCTAAATTGCCCGTGGCGTGAAAGGCCCTACCCAACTGGTAGCAACTTTCGGCCCTGGTGGCGTCCTTGCTTAGGCTAGACTCCATGAAACTGGAAGAAAGGCCGGACGAGTGCGTATGACCGAAATTCGAGGACTGACCTCCGGGACCGGATAGTTGGCCGGGCATGGAAGAAGGAGCATTATTTTGTTCGGAATTGCGGAATGCTTGGAATGCCAAGTGGAACACTTTTTGGTAATCCTTTTTTTTTGGACGGGATATTATAATATATATATGAAAAATTTATGTATACAGCTTATTATTTCGTCGTAATTTTCCCCAGCTAGCCCCCTGACATATTTTTAGCCCATTTATCGTGGCTAAAAAAAATGTCTACGCAGATTAACAAGTCGATGCCCAAAAATTTTGAGAATGTTCTATTACTTAAATCTAGCAATTAATTTAAAATCATTTCGAATTATATCTTTCGCAACTAAATGTCTCATTAAAATCGAACAATTATTATTTATCATTTAATCATATATATATATATGTATGAGATATTTTAAAATTTGAATTTTAACAATAAAAATCTTTAAATTAGGCATTAGGGCACACCTTAACATGATTATAATAAAAAAAATGTCTTGAGTTAAATTGCTATCGGAATCTAAATATATTTACAACTACGAAAATTTTTATATTGAAAATATCTACAACATAAAAAAAAATTCGTTAATAATAATTAATAACTATAAATAATATTTGTGGAATAGATTCATTTAATCTAGTAAAGGTATCTTTTCAAAAATTAAAAGTATCTTTTCAAAATTAAGAGTATATTACAAAGTGTGTTATTTTAAACTTATTTTACATTATTAAAAGGCTTATGGTAATGCATCCTCTCTCTCTCCCTTAAGTAAATTTTAAAGAAAAAAAATGTTTTCTGGTTCCCACATCCTTTTCCGTGTTGTAAAAACTTAGCGACGCAGAGAAGAGAAGAGAAGAGAAGAGAAGAGAAGAGAAGAGAGAGAGAAGAGAGAGAGAAGAGGAAGAGAAGAGAAGAGAAGAGAAGAGAAGAGGAAGAGAGAGAGAAGAAGAGAAGAGAAGAAGAGAAGAGAAGAAGAAGAGAAGAGAAGAAGAAGAGAAGAGAAGAGAAGAGAAGAGAGAGAGAAGAAGAGAAGAGAAGAGAAGAGAGAGAGAAGAGAAGAGAAGAGAAGAGAAGAGAAGAGAAGAGAAGAGAAGAGAAGAGAAGAGAAGAGAAGAGAAGAGGAAGAGAAGAGAAGAGAAGAGAAGAGAAGAGAAGAGAAGAGAAGAGAAGAGAAGAGAAGAGAAGAGAAGAGAAGAGAAGAGAAGAGAAGAGAAGAGAAGAGAAGAAGAGAAGAGAAGAGAAGAGAAGAGAAGAGAAGAGAAGAGAAGAGAAGAGAAGAGAAGAGAAGAGAAGAGGAGAAGAGAAGAGAAGAGAAGAGAAGAGAGAGAGAAGAGAAGAGAAGAGAAGAGAAGAGAAGAAATTTTTTTTTTAATTTTTTCCAAATATTTTTCCTACCTTTTTGAAGAAGAAATGATTGGCCAGGTGATTTAAAACAATGGGATTGGTGGAATCCAACGAATACGCCTTGGAGAGAATTTGTACGCCTGATTTCACGCGTTCCGGGATTTTGGTATTGAGTTCCAGTATGGCTAAACCTATGAGGGCCCCCAAGCAGTTAGGATCTAATTGGAGGGTTCTTTGGAAGGCTAACCTTTTAATATATTTATATATAAAATAATTTATAATCAATAATTAATAAAATTTTAAAAATTAGGGAATTGTAAAACAAACATAAGAATCTTATTAAAAAAATTATATATCTATATATTTTGTGTGGGAACTAAAAATGGCGTGTTGTTAAGTTGAATTTGTGTCGATACACATTTTAATCAATGAATCGTTGATCTATGTAGTTATTGCACAGGGATTTAAACTAAAACTGGAGAAGAAAACCAGGGTTTATGAAGAAAAAAACTGAACCCGCACCAAACCTTAACCCTGTTTAAACAACTTCTGAAACCTAGAACCAAATGCACCATTTGATGACTCGGCCAGGCTCAGATCTTTTTAAAATATATTATTTATTTTTTTTAATTTTTAAAGTTAATAATGGCGATTAGAAATATTTGGTTTTAACCTCTTTCGCTCCCAGCGAGATCATTTGTCACCAAAATTTTTGATCAATTAATTTTTATATTTAAAAATCTAATGGGTTGTTACTTAGACATACGAATTTACAAAAAATATATTTATTATTTCGTATTTTATCGTTAACCTGTCAAAATCATTATTTCATTATATCAAAATACAAGTTCAAAGTTAGGTATTTTACGCGCCTAAATTTTTACACTTTTACATCAATAACCATTCTATATAAATATATATAAATCAAAGTTATATAATGTTTTTATAATAGATTATTACTAGTATTTCAAATTTAGTATAAAAAAAAATTTAACAATAACTATTATTTATATGATTTTTTGAAGGAAATCCAAATTGGTAACATTGGAATTTTATAATGTAATTTTTTTTCACAAATTTTTTAAAATTAGATATTGAAAATATGATATAGTAAGAATTGAATATAGGTTATTTTCCATTTATAAAGCCACTATAATATTTGCAAAAGGTTAAGAAAGTGGGAATTGTTTTTTATAACACTTTTTTTTTAATTTTCATAAATAATTTTTAGATGACCTCAGTATATATTATACCAGAGGGAGATAAATTTGAACAATATATTGGCTCAAAACCGAATAAATGGGGAATTAAAATTTTCACTTCATGTGGATCATCTGGAATGCTATATGATTTCGAAATATATTTAGGAAAATCCACAAATATAAAAAAAAAAAAACTTTGTTAGGAATTAGCGGAGATATTGTTATACGACTATAAGAAACTGTTCCCCCACATAAAAATCATAAAATTTACATGAGTTTATCATGTCAGGGACCCTTAGATCTAATATATTATCGAAATGCCATCTGGTTGATAATAAAATCTTAAAGGAAAGGAAGAGGGGCCCATGATTATAAAGTGGATTCTAATCATATTATAATTTGCAAATAGTTTGATAACAAATCGGTTATCACCATATCATCATTTATGGGTATACATCCCATATAACGAACGAGAAGATGGTCAGTGTCTGATAAATCTTTTATCAATGTCAAAATTCCGTCCATACTTCAAGACTATAACGGTGGTATAGGCAGGGTGGATCTCCGTGATATGTTAATTGAACTCTACAGAACTACATAAAATGGAAACGTTTTTACATGCGAGTTTTCTTTCATTTATTAGATTCCTGTGTAGCATGGTCGCTCTATAGACGCCACATGAAACAGAAAAATAGTAAACATGTATCCCTTTTAGTATTTAAAGCTCAGATAGCTAAAGGATTGATGATGATTATGATGGAAAAGAAGGTAGACCTACGTTGAAGATTGAAAAAAAAGAAGGAAGTTGAATAGTTTTCATCCAATCCCAAATATCTGATTAGATAAAACAGGGCATTGGCCATCAGCGGCTAGTAGACACAGATGCAATTACTGCAAAAATGGTTATTCAAAAGATTTGAATGTATAAAATGTAAAATATGTTTATATAAAAATAACAATTGTGTTATTTCTTATCATTCAAAATAAATTGTATATTTTTTTACATATGAATATCCCAATGATGACAATTGGTAACATTTCATAATTCATATATATATACACTTTTTTAAATAAAAAACGTTGAAAATGTGTTATTTATGTCTAGTTCAACTCAGTTTTAGAAGAAAAATATTTTTTTGTTCACGGGAAATATTTCGGGTGCGAAAGGAAGGATTATATACGGCCCAGCCAATCATGGTATTTTTTTTAAAAAAATATGACCCAGCCCATGTACCTGGGCTGGGCTTATGGTTGGGCCCGCAGGTCCCTGATATAAATATGTTGTAATATAAACAAACTTCGCTTTATCACATCTTTGAAGCCTAAAGAAACAGTGTACAGCTCTGCCCATGTACCTGGGCTGGGCTTAGGGTTGGGCCTGCAGGTCCTGATATAAATATTTTGTAATATAACAAACTTCGCTTTCTCGTATCTTTGAAGCCTAAAGAAGCAGTGAGCGAGTCCTAATCGAACATCAGCAGGGCATTTTGGGTTGGTTCTCATAGCTTTTTTGTAAAATGCCAATGCTGCTTTGTATTCCCTTTTAAAAAAACAGTAACAAGCTTTTCCTAGCATCGAAGGGATGTTAGTGGGACTCTTGATTGAAAGATACAAATAAATATTTTATATAAGTGAAAAAATATTATATTCTAAATTTTGATCCTCTGGGAAATTAAAATTTCTTTTTTAAAAAAAAATATTTGTTTATCTAAACATTTTCTATTCAGCTAAAAAAAACATGCTAATTTGATCTTTCAAAATTAAAATCCATTTTGTTTATCCACAGCCATTTTTGGCATTTCTATTTTCTTTACATGAAATCCTACCAAAACTAGTTTTTTAATTTGTATATTTATTAATGTATTATATATTTTTAAAAATATTTTCATACAAATCAATTTTTAAGAATACTTGATTAAGAACAAATGTAAATTGAGCATCAGCTTGATCCATTTTATCCCCCTCTAATAAACAAAAGTATGCTCTTCCCAATAGATGATTCTGCAATATATAAGGTATTTTTTTTCATAGAAATAACATTCAAACCTGATCATACATAATAATTTTATCTGCTGTAGTATATAACAAGGTTGCTTGGGTCAGTAATTCTTTCCTTTTTTTGTCATCCATCCCATTTTTTCTGCAAGCATGTGCTTTTGTTAGATAATAAGCAGCTAAGGTATCTAATGATCTCATTTGATCTTTTTCAAATTCAGCATAATTAATATTGGCATTCACTTGTGCTGATTCCAATATTTTTACAAAATTTTCTTCTTTTCCTTTTCGGTAATAATCAATCTAATAAATATTGTCATATTTATTTTTTATTATCCAAATTACCGCAATAGTGACCCAGATGTTTAAAGGACAATTTTCTTGCATCAAAATCTGAAGAAGCTCATTTGGTTCCGTTATTTGATCCAAGTCGATTTCAATGACCTAATTTCTATATAGCATAAAATCTTATTAAGAAATATACTTCATCGCTATCTTTCAATGGAATTTCAATCATATTTTTTAAAACGAATGAAATAAAAAATTATTTTCACACAATTCAGCATGGATTAATGCTAAATCCTGACCGGTCTGAAAATAGTTTCGATTCTAATATTCTGATAAACATATATAAATAATCATTTTATTATAATTTAAATTTACTTTAAAAAACAAAAATTGATATAGTTTTTAAAAAAAAGTCAATATATATTATCATGATATATATAATTATAAAAAAATAAAATCATTTATTTTTGATGGATGATAATTATTATTTAAATTTAAAAAAAATATATTACAGACAAATTGCTTACATTAAATTTTATATTTAAATTTATGCCTTTGAATTCAATATAACCTTTATTGCAAATTTTAACAAGTTTCATATATTTAATAACTAAATTAGCATATTCGGAAAATATAACTACTTATAATAATATTTTTAAATTTGAAAATATAAAATGGTTTATAATAAATGGCTTGAGATATGTCACAATTAATGTGAACATTTTTAGTGGTTAGGAGTGTTGATTTAAGTGGCCGATTAAAATTTTAGCCAAAATATTATGTATGCCTATTTTCTTATAGATGGTAGAAAGGTTTGGACCACTTTTTACTAAATTTCGAGGATTACATAATATTATTTTAGCTAAAATCTTAATCGGGCCATGTTTAAAAATCGACCCAACTAAAGCCATTTAACAACAATATTTGTTATTTCTGAGTTCATAATTATTTATTTTCACCAACCTTTTAGACATATATGTTAGTGGCACCTTTAATTAACTTAAATTGAAATCAAATAATTTATAGTGTCAAACTGTATTCTAATGCAAAAAAAAAACCAAAAATAAAAATAAAAACGTAAGAAAAATATTTATAGATAGGAAAAATATTAAGAGAAATAAGTATTTAAAAAGAAAAAAATTTATCGTTAATCATTTTAAAGATGTAGGTTGAAATGAAAAATTATTTTACGATATCTCATTTAAATTTTGAACTAAGTTTGTAAATATAGATAAGATTATGATAGAAAATTGTGTAAGCATTCATAGTAGGTAAGATATATTGGAATTTGGGTTTTATTTATTTAAAAGTGATAATTAGGAATATTTAGAAATTACTGATAAACTAAAAACCAATTAATTTAGATGATATTTTAGATTGTAGAATTATTATAAGTTATTAAATAATTAATCACTAGAGATAACTATGACAAAGAAAAAGCAACATAAATTGCGAAGAATAAAATTAAACAAATAATTTGTTACGGTATGATAATTTAAAAAATTCGGTGAATAAGATTAGAGACTAAGACGAATATACATACATTTATTGTTAGAAAATAGTTGATGTTTTATATTGAAGATTTATGTTTAACTTTTATTTTAAGGGCTACTAGAGATAAAGCCTCAAGATTCTGATATGTGAATGTAGTATAATCTAAGGTAGTTGATTAACCAAAAATCTTCATAAAGAGAAACGGCTTTCGTCATTAAAAAATTTTTTCTGCAATCAAGCTCATAGGGAGATGGATTTTTTATTTTTGATTATTAATAAGATTTAGATCAATTATGCAACATTATTCTAATAATAGCAGAAAAAAAAACATGCTTTAGAATTATGTCCCTTGTTTTTCTACAACGTGTGTTGAAAACCTTAATGATTAGATTTCATTGGTTCAAAAACGTGAGGGTGAAAACCATAATGATTAGAGTTCAGTGGTTTTTCAACAACGTAGGTGTTAAAACTATAATAATTAGACTTCATTAGTTTTTCAACAACGTGTGTGCGAAAAGAGATTGTATATTTCAGCAGTTTTTTATCAAAGGATGTAAATGGTATAGAGGAAAAAAAAATAAATAGGTATTATATTTTGTTAAAGACGTGAGGGCCTAAAAGTGTATAAAGTAGGAGGAAAAGGTTGCAATTTTTTTAAAAAAAGAAGATATATTTATATTTTGGGAAAATATTTAGAATTTTTTTATATTCAAGATTAGAGAAAGTCAGATTTAAAGACGTCTACAAGCAAGTGGTTCAATGAAGATATAGGTGTATACTTTATTGAGGGTAAAGGGGTGGTAGAATTTGATATAAATATATAATTTATTTAGTACATTCTGACTATGTATAATAAATTTAAGATTTAGTATAATTTACGCCATTTATTAAACTAGTAGAAAGCCCGTCAAAAATGACTGGGAATAAGATTTTTATTCATTTTTTTAAGATAGATGTCATGCCAGATCCAAGCTCACAATATTAGGAAGCATATAATTATTAAAAAGTTTATCCAGCCCAGCTCAACCCTTAATAATTTGTTAAAGATATTCCCATGTCAGGTGCAAGCTAATATAAATTTTGAGGTTCCAAGCCCAGTCGTATCCAATATAATTTTGAAAATTTTTTCCCACCTCGGAGATAATTAAATTATTAATTGATTTATCATCACATGAAGAAGAATTATCTGATTTACCTATTAGTTTAAGATGTAAAAAAACACATGTGAATTCCGTATTAAGGAAAACTGGGAAGGCCTGGGCAAACCACTTATTAGAGAATCATGACAAATAAAATAAAAATAACCGACTCTTATACTTTTTGGTAATATGATCAATTATAATTATATATAAAAAATAAATTATTGTATATAGGGTTATTGTAGCTTTTTGGATAAATTTAATGCATGTCTTAGATTTCCCAAATTATTTGTCTATATTTATGTTAAGTAAAAAAAAATGCTATCTATTTAAATAACAAAAATGACATTAAACACTAATGAAACTAATATGCAAATTATAAAATATTTTTTATTGACATATAAATTTAGGCTAATTTTTTTTTAAAAATAATGAGCAATAATTATTATGTTGTGTATTTGATATAATTAAGAGCAAATCCTTTGAAATTTTTATTTTTGATGGAAAAAGCGACAAATAAATCTGGAAGGTTGTCTGGAAAGGAAATAATTAATGTACAATTTCATATCATTTAAGGTTGTAGATGAAAGTAATGACGGATTACCATAGCACAGTACAAAACACAATACGTCCTGATAAAGATGAGTCATATGCCTATGCCTTGGGATACTGGTAAAAGAAGAACGCAAAATGATATTTCTGTCAATGTCAGCATTGGTAGCCTCCTCTAAAATAGAATCATGAACGACAATGTTTACTCAACCATAAAAAGGTAGTAAGAAATGTTAAGGCCATGACAGAACTACTGCATATTTTTTCATTAATAAAGTTGATGAAAATGGCCGTACTGCACATTCAAGTTTGAACATTCTTTTTAATAATCATGAAAGTTTCTCAGAGAATCAGATAAAGTGATATTTATAATAACTCCTAGTGAAGTGAATGATAGTACGGAATTGAATACTTATGTTTGTTAAAAAATAGGCAGAGGTGGCATAGGGATTGTCGTAGCATCATTTGGAGGCAACTGGGTGAAAATAAAATAAACCTATAAATATAAAACATAAGATAAAAAACGAAATAAACCTCCAAAGGAGTTCATTTCAAGCTTAGTTTTTTATTATTTTGGCTACCAGTAACTATAGAACGGGCAAGGCGTTTGTTTATTCGTCATTATTTTCTTTGCTTATCTTTAATAGATTCATCATGTTTTGTAGCAATGTGAGGGATTAAGGTTGGGCTAACCTAGACAAATAAAGAAATCAGGCAAAAAAATATATAAACATTATTATTGAAATAGAACGAACATTAAAATTCTGTAAACCAATAGATGGGTCAATATTAGATGCATATATCTAGTAGTTGGAGGGATATCATCAAAAAAATTGGGGAGGGGGGGGGCAGAGATATTAATATTATAATTAATGAAGGGAAAATCTCTGATTTACCAAATAGTCTACGGGTAAAATATAATACTTTATAAAAATATTAACATAAGACTAACATTTAACATTAAAAAATCCCAATATATTAAGCCTTCAATATTTGGAAAAAATTCCAAGCATCCAAGATCTTAATAATTTAAAAAGATTTTCTCAAGCCCATTTTAATCCCTAATAATTTTTGAAAACAAAGCCAATATTAATTTTGAGAAATATTTTTTAACCCCAGTCCAACCCATAATAATTTTGAAATATTTTCCCAAGCCTAGAGATATTAAATTTATTGAATTAACTCAGTTAAAATTTAAGTTATAGGATCATCTGTTTGTATAAAATAAATAAATAAAATCAACAATCGTAAATAATGTATTACTTTTTGGTTTTAATATGGCCTCCTACAGTTGCATAGAAAATAGTTATAGGATCATCTGTTTGTATAAAATAAATAAATTAATTAAACAAATAAAAAATAAATAAATAAATAAAAGCCGATCACATGACGTAACGATGACATGACGTAGCGATGACATGACGTCACGATGACGTAGTGAGGACATCGGAAGATTATAATATAGATAAGCAGTATAAGATTAGAGGAAATAAGTGTAGACCTTTTTGGTGTATTTAGACTATGTAGTTTAAATATGAGAATAAATGTAAGAAAAAATGATAAAATATTTCAGAAGTTATAAAGGGTTAAATAGATTATTTTATGATCTGAAAATTTGAGATAAAGATCAAGTGAGAATAAAGACAAAGTAGATATCTAGGAACTGTCGTAGAAGACCAGAAAGTCTAAAAGATCTATACGGTTACAAGAATTAGATGCCAAGAACTAATCAATAATAAGAGAACGTTAAAAACAAGCGATTAGATAGAACAAATGGTCAAGACGTTAGTGCTGCAATAGTTAATCGCTGACCAATATAGCCAAAGTCTAAGATATGAAAGTTGACGATCATAGAGACAATAATTCATAGAAATTATCGTTAACCGCAAACTAATTATTGTCAATTACCATCATTAGTTAAAAGAGGCCGTTAGAAGCAAAAGACTAGGATAATTTATCAAAAGAATTTAAGACGGACTAAAAGATACAAAAGTTGAAAAGGGGACTAGAATTCATCGATAATCGTTTACAAACAATCGTAATCAATTACTGCGATAAAGAGCT